AGCAAGTAAGATTGTATCATCTGCATGATTCAGGTTGTTAATGAGTCTTCCTCTAATCTTGATGTCATATTCCTCCTCATAAAGTCTAGCCTCTCGAATGATCTGTTCTGTATACACATTGAAAAGATACGGAGACAGGATACATCCCTGGCACACTACTTTTCTGATATTGAACCATGTAGTGTTTCTTTGCTATGTTCTGATGACTGCCTCTGGTCCAAGTTTAGGTATCTTACTATACTGTAATTGCTGAGATGCAATCTCAAAAGTCTTGGGAGTTCTTGGAGAAGTCAACACATCAATAGGATTCATTAGTAGGAAACTGCTGTGCACTATCAAGTTGGAACTGATTCATATAGCTGATCCTCCAGTGGGTTAGAGGCAGTTAATTAAATGGGAAGAGACAGACTGTCCACATTTCTCCGGAGGACTGACTGGTGGATTTGAACCAAGTGCCTGTTGGTTGGCAGCACAACTCCTTGCCACTAAGCCACTTAGTTGAAAATTAGTAGGTTCATTAACTTTATGTCTAACCTACATGGCTTTTGCCCCTACACACATAAGTAAACATAAGTAAAGTACAGATTGTTACTCTTATCACTTAATTCAGATACATTTTTCCTCATTTGGACACTGAAGGAATACATGAAACAATGATAATACTGTTTTTGGTAATGTCTTCAACCAGGTATCATTTTGTTTAATGTTTTATATGAATGTTTGATTGAAATAGACATGAAATGTGTTTTTTAATGAAATGTGTTTTTGTATGCTAAAAAAAAAATAGAAAAGAACCAGAGCTGCTATGCTGAGAATCTCTTAGAGACAGAGCTGTACAAGTGGACAGAGTGAGAAATGGCGGCAACCAAGGCAGAGCCTAGTGGCCCCAAAACAGCAGCAGAAGCTTACAGGAGAGGAACCAGAAGCTTACAGGAGGCCAGCAAGGCAGCTGCAGTGGGCTGGCCTATTCACAGAGCAAGAGCCTCTGGGCAGGAGGCTTGCAGGCAGAATGGAGCACCTCTGGGCATTTGTCTGAGGAGCCAAAGAGCTGTTGTTATGTTTGTAGGTGCAAGAAGGGGCCTAGAGAAGGGTCTGCTGGCTGGCAATGCAAAAAAAGGCCCCATGGCAAAAATAGGGCAAAGTAGAACACCTGTATACAGACAGGCACAGTCGGGAAGGAGCTGGGAACTGTCTCGACTGGAAGTGTTCTAGTTGACCAACTGTAACCTGTCTCCTGAGTTGTATCCTGTTACTACTGAGCTTATCCTGATCCTGAGTTGAGCTTCTAACTTCCCTAATAAAGCATGTAGCCATTAGCACAGTCAGAGTTCGGTGTGACCACTGCAATGAATTCTCTAGCGCAGCAGAAAAGTAGGGGGTAGTGGAGGTAAGTCTGACCTCCACCTTAGAGGAATCACTTTGAATCTTGTTTTTCATCCCTCCTCCTGAAGGTAGATAAGGTCCAACACTGCTACTTAGTTGTTGATGTTGATGACAAGCGCCACGGAGTCGACTACGACTCACAGTGACTCCACGGACAACAGATCTGAATTCTGTCCTAAACTATGCTCACCACCTCTGATATGCTCCAGGCCACTGCTATAGGCACTGTGTCAATCCATCTGGTTGAGAGGTTTCTTCTCTTTCTCTGCCCCTCCACCTTTCCAAGTATGATATCTTTTACAAAAGGACTAGTACAAACCAACCCCCCCAAAAAAACAAACCATAAACAAAAAAAACCAGACAAGTGCTTCCTGACAACATGCCCAAAGCATGTGAGACCAAGCGTCAGCATCTCGGCCTCTTAAGGGCACCCTAGTTGCATGTCCTCCAAGATAGACTTGTTTGGCAGCCAATGGAGTAGTCACTCCCCTGCAACACCGCAATTCAAAGGCATCAGTTTTCCTCCTGTCATCCTTATTCTACTTTCAGATGCTTAGGATGCAACTGAAAAAACTATGGCTCAGATCAAGTACACCTTAGTCTTTGGCAAGATCTTTCAAAGTAGATTTTCCCAGGGTGACCATCTTTATAGTTCTTGACTGCTATTATCAAGAGTGTTAATTGTATGTTGCCTAGTGACCCAGTGGTGAGGATTTTTGTTTTCTTGATGTTGAGATACAATCCATACTGAAGGCTATAGTCTTCAGGGGTTAGTGTTCATTAATTCTGGTAGTAAAGAGCTATCATTGAGAACTGCCATTGACCTTGAGCTTGTGACTTCACTCCTCCACCTGAGTCTCCAGACTTTGAGGTGAGGAAGCACAAGCACTTCCCCCAATACCTTCCCCACAGAGGTGTCTGAGGATGAAGTAGAATGGAAACTGGTACATCTTAGCATTAGTTCATTTTGTTACTACACAGCTATTCAAGAGGCTCTGGGAAGGTAAGGGAACCAGAGAGGGACAGGCCCTTGGTCTCTAGGAGTGACTCTCCACTCCTCCCTGGTTTTGGTCCTAGCCAGTATAGCCCAAAAGGCCCCATTCCCTGAGTCCTCCTGAACCCCTTGACCTCTGAGCCACTCCTTGTCTTTAGTCCCATGACCCAGTCTGAAACCAATCTGTTCTATGTTAGCCTAAGGGGTGTGGTGATGGCGAAGCCAGGGTGAGGCAGTGACGGCCATCTCAGATTGGGTGGCAGCTCAAAAGTAGCAGCAGATACCTGGGAGGCAGACCTGACAGCACAGGTTGCTGGGGCCCCAGGACACCGGGGTTTCATCATCATGTGCCTTGGACTCAGGGTGGCCTGGGCAGGGGTATTTCCCATGACTCCACTGTCCTCTCCAGGAAGTCACTCAGCAGGAAGTGGCAGTGATGGAGAAGGAAGGTGGTACAAATGACGTTCTGACACCCACATAATTCCTAACAGTGTCACCTTGATTGGGTGCCCCTGTAGCCTTAATCAACTGGGTGTCCAGCCCCAGTTCTGCTGGAATTATCTGTTTACTAGAGTCTCCTCCCACTAAACTATGCACACCCTGAGGACAAGGCCCATGTATTCATCTCAGAATCTGCCAGCTCACTGGCACACTGCTGAGACTCAGCAAACACCTGTAGAATGCCAGGTGTCCTGGGCAGCCCTCAGCCTAACCACCTCCAGCACCCACCTCCTTTAGGGTGACACCCAGGGCTGCTTCTCCAGCCCTGACTTGACCTCCAACGCCAGCCCTGGATGTCCCAGCACCTCAGACCCACCATAGCCCTCCCTCTCTTCTTCTCAAACCACCACTGGTTCTTAGCCCAGAAAATGACACTGCCAACTCCCCACACACCTAAGGTAGAGACAGACACATTTCTTATTCCCCCATTTGAGTCCAGTCAAGTCTACCACCAAGGTTCTTCTGAATCCATCTTGATTGCATCCATCCTAGTGGCCTTTGCCTCAATTACTTCTCAGCCTGTTGGGTGGGGTCTCCCTGTTTCACCACTCTGTCCCTGGTACTCCTCAAAGTTCACTGTCTGCCTCAATGAGGCTCCTGTCAGATAAAGTTCATGGTGCTACAAGAGGGGCTGGGCCCCACCAGGGGAATTAGCCCCTTTTGCCTCCCGCCAGGTTCTTAGGTGCAGCCTGGGCCCCTGCTGGCTCCTCGGCCATGCTAGGTCTCCCAGCAGCTCACTCACCCCCTGCTTTCATGCTCTATTTCATTGCCTGACTTCTTGCTGGCTCCTGTCCTCTAGAAGGGCCTGGACTCTGTCGTGCCCACTGTTGAATCTCTAGGGTGAGCTCTACCAAAATACTAACTCCACTGTCATTGGGTCGATTCTGATCCGGCAACCCTGTGAGGCAGGCTAGAACCTCTCTGAGGGTTCTGAGCCATGGAACAGCTGGCGAGTAAAAACTGCTGGTTAGCGGCTGCTGAACGTATGCATGACTGAATGGAAGGCAGGGCAGGAATACTTCCTTCCGTCTCAATAAGTACAGTGCCCAGCACGGCATCCAGAACACCCACAGAAGTAGGTCAAATGAGTGAAAGGATACGAAAGAGTGAAGAGAGGGTGGGGGCAAAGGAAAGGAAGTCTGGCAGCTGAGAGCCCCAAGTTCTGAGGTCCAAGACTCAAGCAGTCTCCCAAACAGCTCAGCCCTTCTGTTCCCTCAGCCTCACTGCACCCCACCGTGTCACTAATTCTTCTACCAACAGCAGTTCTAACACACCACTGCGGATCCACAGGACTTTAGAGTTTATAACACTCTCATACACACACCCTCCCCCAACCCCTCAGTTGTGCAGTCTTGGCCCAGGTTTTAGTCCCTTTGTGGGCTGTGCATGAACAGACGAGCTCCTTGACTTTTCTGGGCCAGCCTTCTTATCTGTGACATGGAGATCAGATCACTCAGCTCTTAGGAAGGTGAAGAGGCTGACCCACCCAGCATATGATCTGTTCTTAGGACCTGCTTAATTTGGTCTGTCCTGGGGACTTTCTTTGCCCCTGGCGATAGTCCTCATCAGAAATGGAGAGACCATACAGGCTTTCTGATTCTAGGAGGTGCTCACTCGTTAGACCAGTCCTTCAGGTGCAATGTGCCTGCTGCGGCCAGGTGGGAGCCTGGTAGGGGGCTGACTTGTGGACCCAGCCTCTGCACAGAGGTCAGCCACAAACACCCTCATTTAAAACAATTCTCATGCCCTTTTAGGGGCCACCAGGAACCCTGATGCTCTCCCTGGCGCTCGCAGAGCCCAGACGGCACAGGGTGGTGGAGAGGCAGGTGAAGGGTCCCCCAAATCTACCTCTCCCACTACTCTATCAATGATCCCCATATGTCCCTCACCTCAGCTCTCCCCCAGCGCGCCCAGAGGACGCCTCCCGCTGGGAAACAAGGTCCAGGGTGCCTTGCAGGGGCCCATCCACCTCAGGTGGTGACCCCCTCCCGGTCCCCAGCGTGACCTCCAGCGGAGACGCCCCTACAGTCACGCCCCTCCCCAGCCCAGCGCAGCCCTCGGAGCCCATGAAGGACTCCGAGAACCCCGCTTCTTCCACCCCGGCCACTGCGCTGTCACTGACCCATCTTCTTCAGGGCCCTCAGCCCTGGCCTCCTGGTGCTGCCGTCCGAAGTCGAGGGCTGGGGCGGCAGCGCGACGGGCGCCGCGAGCCGAGCAGGCACCGGGGACTCCTCGGGCGGCCGGCGGCAGCTCCTCCAGCGGCTGCACAGCATGGTGAAGGGGCCGGGGCCGGGCCCGGGGTCTGCGCGCGGGGACAGTGCAGCGGGGACACCGCTCCGGCCCGGCCCCGGCTCTGCCAGCGGTCGCGAGCGAAGAAACTTAGCAGCGCCGAAGGGAGCCGGGAGGAGGCGTCGGGAGGAGGGAGCAGAGGTGGGATGAGAGGAGAGCGCGGGAGGGGGGCGGGAAAGGGGCGGGGCCGAGAAGAGGGCGTGGTTTGGGGGTCGAAGGGGGTGCAAGGCGGGGTCGCTGGGGAGGGAGTGGAGGTGGAACTTGAGGGGCGAGAGGGAGGGGCGGAAAAATGGGGGCGGGGTCGAGGAGGGGGCGTGGTCTGAGTGGAGTCGTAGGGGGTGCAAGGCGGGATCGCTGAGGCGGGAGCGGAGGTGGAACTTGAGGAGCGAACGGGCGGGGAGGGGGCGGGACCAGGGCCCGAGA